GGTTAAATGAGTGATGTGGGAGATTTATAAATTGGCGTAAAAACATCTTAAGTAAAGGGACTCAGAGCAGTGAGGCCAGTGTGTTTCTAGCTCTTGGACTGGTGCCTGGCTGGAGTCTTCTCCTTGGTCCTGTGCTCTGCCGTGTAAGAGTCTTGATTGATGCAAATAAGAGGCCAGACGCATCCACCTGAAGAACAGTACAGCAGGTTTATGAAAACCTATTACCCAAATTACTTTTCAAAATGAATTAAGCACAGAATGTGGGGCTTTGCTGGATTTATGAGATAGGCTTATACGTTTCTTATACCTTCTGGCTCAGAATGTTTCCACACGTGGCAGAAGGTTGTTGGGGTTTTCTGGCACTGTAAAGCAGTGCAAGCTTATGTAGGTGAGAACTAAACCCACCTCCTTAGCATCTCCATGGACTGTTAATGTTGAATCCCAGCACTGAAAACGATGACCTCCAGTTTGGCTTGCTTCCTTTTGCAGCACAAGCCTTTCCCATCTCCTGGTCTACACATCTCCTGTTCTTAATGATTGACCTCGTTTCTGGATAAGGAAAGAGATGTTTGAAATTATACAGTGTGCCACAATGACTAGGAGCCCCTTTCAGAATGGTGTACCACCATTCTGTGGAGACTTGGACCATCATCCAGGCCATATTTGTTGTTAGTTGCCTATTAGAGCCTCTTTAATGGAGTCACTGAAATCCCAGGAGGGTGAGCCATGATTCGGCTAAGAAAGCTCATGATGAATGGAGTCCATTTGTGGGAGTGTGTGAGTGCCTGGCTTGTCCCCAGCAATACTCTGCAGAGCTATCTTCTGGAACTCAGCATGCTAGGACCTGGGACAGTTTCCATCTTTGATCTGTCAGGAAGATTAAGCAGAGCCCAGTCTGCAGCTGCAGCTGCAACCTGTGGAAACATGGGAGATGCCTTCCAGTTGTATTTATGGGGAATGTGGGATTTATTTTGACCTGCTTTGATGAAAACGGCTCACAAGGAAGTAACAGAAATACATTAGTTAACGTTGAAAAAAAGCTAGTTTTGATATTTTGGAAAAGTGTTGTTCAAAGTATTGACCATGTAAATAAGATAATGATTCAAGTTGGAATTTTACGTTTACTTTTATCTCATTCAGTTTTCACAGACTGGGGTTGCTGGGTCAGAAGTGCCCTTGCTTAGTATCATTGCAAACTTGTTAATCCTGAAAGCCTTACTGCTGGGAAGCTGAGATGAGGTCATTTTTTTGTTTGCTTTGATCAAGGAACAGAATATTGCTTTTTGGCGCTGAATCAAGAAGCCTTAGATTTAAACATCCTTTTGTTTGCTTTTCTCGGTGAAATAACACAGGAACAATGTGAAGGTGACTGAACTAAATATATGTATCTTGATGCTGTTGACGCTAGGGATCCCGGATAGTGCTATAGAAAGGGGAAAGGCGGGCCCTAATGCCATGATGATGCAGGGATTTCCGATTATTTGATTGTTAACCCTGTTTTTGCAGAGAAAGATAAGCATAAATAGTACAACTATAACAAGAAAATTGAAAGAATCAAGACAATGTAGATGGGAGGGGAAATATTAAGCTAACACAATCTTCCTTCACCTCTCAGAGTCTTCCTGTCCCAGACAAAATAGAAATTGTGACAAGCAATGACCTGTTGGATAATGAGAGTTCATTGTTCCAGACACAAGTAGGAATATTCACAGTTCTGTCTATGTTCTAATATTGAATTAGCTGTGTGGAGTTTTATTTAAAGAACAATTAAGGGCAATAGTAGATGAAATATTAACAACTCCTTTTAAAGTGAGTTGTGTCTAAAGAAATACCATCATAGATACTGCCTTGGGAAAGTGCCTCTGTCCATGTTGAACCAAATGCAATTTCATGGATTATCTCATTTCATTTTAATAACCCTCTGGGTGGTGGTATCATTATCCATCATCATCATCATCATCATCATCATCATCATCATCATAAAGCCTAGCCCTCCCTGCTCTTGTGGCTGGCAAATGCTACATAGCTGGAGAATTTAGGAGGATTTAAATTGTACTAAAATTAGTTCAGGGCCATTATGGTATCATGGTAATTGGGATACAAGTATCTGCAATGATTTCTTCTGACTCAGTTAGGTACAGGCTTCTTCAGTCACTTACCTGTCTGAGTATGTCACTGTCTTCTAAGCTCTGTTGGTGAACAGTCAGGTAATTCCTTGCTCTTGAGTTGTTAGGAATAGTGCTCTAATGAACCTCCTTGTAATCTTTATATGCATTTATGAATATTTCCATGAATCTTTGATGTAGCGTTTTTCTCAGATCATGGTTATTAATTTCCCCTCAAATGGATGAGATTTTGACATTAATTGCTCTGAATTTACAAATGACTGTAAACTGACATTTACAGCAAATTGGGACCAATGGTAGTCTTTGTAGTATTAAAGATTTTAGTTTAGAAAAATAATATGGGATTATATGTAGGGCTTTCTATATTTTATAGGGAAGGAAATCCTTCAACATTGTAAGTAGTAATCATGGGCCATTTTATAAGTTTTTCCATTTTTGTTATGTTTTCAAAAAGCTATTAATGCTTTGTATTATATACTTTAAATATTAGCATTGCACTACTGAGCTTATTAGTTTTAGTTACTGTTTGTTGATTTTCACACCTTTTCCAAGTCAATAATAGTTAATCTGTAATAATCAGTTCTGACTTTTCTTTTTCAGTTATTTATCTTTTTTTGGTCTGCATGCCCTGTAGTTTGTCAGACCATGAGTGAGCTTAACAATGAAAAGTGGCTTACAGTGTCTAGCACAATAGCTAGAGTTGCTGTTACTAAGTGACTACAAAAGGCTGGAAGTGAAAGATAAAAAGGGCTAAGAGAAAGTCAGGAGCATTATAATTTGATAAGGGCATAGGAAGCATATTTTCTGTAAAAATAAACAGGGCACCAAACTATAGTGGGAAATTACCAATACGGAGTCAGGTAGAAATATAAGGGTATTTAATAGGGAAAAGCCTTACTTACAGAGGGACCTAGCCAGCCAGCGTGTACAGCAGGTACAGCAAGTACCAAAGAGAAAACGAAAGCGAAAACGAAGTCACCCTACATCCCCTGACCACGCCCTCGCAAGCTTGTGAGGGTGTGGTCAGGCACACCTGTAGCCAGCCCCTAAGTAGGCGTGGCTACAGCTTCCCCTACAATTCCCCTTTTAGTCTAAAAGAGTATTAAAACTTAACAGTTTAAAGTATCCAGAATTAACAGTCATAAAGGTAAAATATAAGAAGCGAAAACGAAGTCACCCTCATCCCCTGACCACGCCCTCGCAAGCTTGTGAGGGCGTGAGCCAGCCCCTAAGTAGGTGTAGCTACAGCTTCCCCTACACCAAACTCCATAATACAGAGACATACACTTTAATGTAGCAATGTTTACTGTGGTGGAGAGAGCCAGGGGGACGCCCGGAAGCAGGAGACCGGAACACGGAGCGCAATGGAAGACTGGACAGAACAAGTCCACTCAGGCGCAGAGCATCCAAGGGCCTGCTTGTGAGAAGTGAAGCCCATGAGGGGCCTTAGTGTGTTTGCCCCTGTGTGGACACTATGTCTGTGCTCTTGGCTTATTCCAAATAAAAGAATCACAAATATTCCAGTAATGCATTTCAAATTTTACCCCGAGTAGCAGGAACTGTTGGGAAGGCAATAGATACATTTCCTTCATTGTTTACCTTCATCCAGTCTTCTTTATGTTTCTATTACAGCTTTTAATATATTTTAAAAAGCTTTTTACTGTCTGGTTTTAAGAGTTTGAGGGGAGACTTACAGAGCCTTTTCAGATGTAATTTAGATCTTTAATAAATTTTAAATTGACTTGGTAATGACAGCTTTTATTCTAGATATTGATTGCACTTTAGTAATAGATACATTTCTTTCTTCCAAAGACTCTTTAGCATGCTGAGCGATTTGATAACTACGTTAGTTCCTTTACAAATAGGTACATTTATTATGGCACTGTCTGAGGGCCACACATAGTCTTTTGAATGACTTAAGCTAGAAAAATACTGTCAATATCTTAGTTTTACAGTCTTTGAGCAATATGTTGGTAGCTATTTCCTAGAAAGAGACAATGAAAACTTAATTTAAATCTACATACAAGTAAATGACAGAAGACAGATGAGAGCAGTTTAGAATGGAAATCAATGACACCACTTCTGTGATTAAGATGTAATCATAGCGTCAATAAGCTACACCCGTGGGGCTAGTATAGTCCATATTGTAGGACAGGTTCAGTTTGGTGGTTTGGCAAGGTAGCTTTGATTTGCTTTACTCTACCATGCCCAGGAAATAGATCATTGCACCTGTTACTATATTCTGAATAAATACAGGTTAATGAATATTACTAGTCACACAAAGCAGTCTATGGCTACTGTTTTCTCCTAAATTATTGAAATTTACAAAGTGACTTATACATTTTAATTTAATAAGTTATTTTTATTTGAATTCAATTGTTCTTAACATCTTGATTAATTTTAAATATCAAATGGTTGTTAGTAAAAATGCAGCAGAGGTTGGGGAGATGGGCCACTAGGTAAGAGAACTTGTTGAGCACGCATAAGGACCTGAATTCAAATCCCCAGAAACCACAGAAAAAGGCAAACATGGAAACATGCATCTGTAATCCCGGAAGTGTAGGTGGGCAGAAACAGGAGGCTTTGGGGGCTTGCAGACTGCCAGCCTAGCTCCAGTTTCAGTGAGAGACCCTGTCTCATGGAAACAAAGAGAGCAACGGAGCAGAAGGCCCAGTGTCATCCTCTGGACTCTCTGTGGGCATCACACACAGACACTCACAACATATATACCACACTCTTGTTCATATACATATACACACTTGTGAACACATACATGCAAAATTAAAAGAAACAAGAAATCCATCCTAGGAGTGTTTCTCATTAAGATATGCCGTCTTTTCTGTATCATCATTTACTCTTGGCCTTTCATTATAGGTTTTCAACACATACTCCAATGAAGACTATGACAGAAGAAATGATGAAGTTGACCCTGTGGCTGCATCTGCTGAGTATGAGCTTGAGAAGCGTGTAGAGAAGCTGGAACTTTTCCCTGTGGAACTGGAGAAAGGTACAACAGGACTCCACTGCTTGCATCTTCGTGTCTCTCTGCTGGTAACATGGAGTGGCTTTTCCAGACTTCCTAAGAATTGAATAAAGTTGTATATCTCCTGAAGTTTACCAGATTTCACAAAGAGTTGGTGTAGATTTTGAGTAGCTAATTTATTAAATAACACCCTCATCTCTCCAGCTCCCAAACAAGTCAGTTGCTTTATCTGGCTGGGATGGTGTTTCAGATAGGAGATGAGCTGCCTACTTTTATGTCAACTTGACAGAAGCAAAGTCACTGGAGATTAGGGAGCATCAGTTGAGAAAATACCACAATAAAATGGGATATAAGCAGGCCTATTTAATTAATTAATATGTGATGTGGGAGGTCCCAGCCATTGTGGATGGTGCCATCCCTGGGCTGCTGGTCCTGGCTTCTCTAAGAAAGCAGGCTGAGCAAGCTATGATGAACAAGCCAGTAAGCAGCTCCCCTCCATGGCCTCTGCTTCAGCTCCTGCCTCCAGGTTCCTGCCCTGTGTGCATTTCTGCCCTGACTGCCCTTTGATAATGAACAGCAGTATGGAAGTGTGAGCCTAATAAAGCCTTTCCTCTCAAGGCTTGGTCTTGGTGTTTTGTCATAGCAATAGTAACCCAAACTAAGACAAATTGGTACCAAGATCATGGTGTATTGCTGTGACAGACCTGACCATTTATTTTTGGTACTTGCAGGGTGTTGCATTCAATCTGGACTTCCACAGCAGTATATCTTAGGGAACAAAGAAACAATGATACACCTCTTTTTTATTTTTTTAAGGAAGTAAGAACAAAAGCAAATGTATTTCTGGTATTACTATGCCATTTTCATCAGAATGGTTTTGAAACTACGAAATGTCACTGATTTCTATCATCAAAAAAGCATAAAGTTTAAGAACTAAAACATACTTAGCAGAAATAGCTATTTAGACCTAGCCCCCCAAGCTAAGGGAATCTTTTCCCATGGAAACAGGATGGTGGGCAACCTTTTCCAGGACAAAAGAAAAAATAGCCTCTGAGGGTCGGTAACTGATGATGCTGACCAGATAAAGTACATGGTATTAGAAGACAATTTAGTTTACTACTGCTTTTAAATTTAATCAGTTGCCCTAATAAAAGAGCATTACTTATAACATATTACTTATATGTTCTAAAGTAGAAAGAACTGTTAATGAGTCAGGAATTTCATAGTTTCCAAGTTGATTTTCCTTATGCTTCAACACCCTTAGTGATGGTGTAAAGTGTAGCACTACAGGGATTAAAATTCCACTTGTGCTTTTTTTTGTCTCTGTGTTTATTCATCAATTAAAATTATAAAACCTAATGCAGAGGAACAATACCAGCACATTCTCCCATTGGCCCGGCAGAATTCAAAGGTGCAGTGCTGAGACGAGATGCAGCCACTGTCTCTTGGCTCTTCAGTTGTAGGCGAGTTCTATTTAAAAGTGCCAAGTCATTTTTGAAACTGAGCAGCACAAGCCTGATGTGGCACTCTTCCTGTCATCCCAGCACACAGGTGGCAGAGGCATCTGAAGTTCAAATCCAGCTTAGGCTGTTGAATAAGATTAGGTTCAGAACAGCACAAGGCAAATGACAAGACAGGGAGAAACTATAAATGCAACAATATACATGACACAGAAAAGAGAAAATAGAAGCAGTAATAGTGCATCGTTTTTCATCTCATCGACTAGATCCAACCCTTGACAATCTTGACTAAAGGCAAATTAGCAATAGGTAGTAAATATATGCAAATGAACAGCATGAGAGCTGTTGGGCACTGAATTTCTCTGGCACAAATGATGAGTACCTAGAAATGATTTATTATTTTCTAACAATGTGAATCATCCAAATCAATGTAACATATTGGTGAGTTGCCACAACAGCAATTGGAATGATGTCTATTATATAAAACATGGAATCATTTCATTAGAAGGATATGGATTTTACAGGTAAAACATGGAAGTGTTTCATAGCCAGATGGCTTCATGACACATAAAGATTACACAAAACCAGTGTTGTTTAGACCCTTTTGTATCAGATAAAATGAAGGAAAACTCTGACACATGCCATCAAAAAATCCTGTTAAGAGATTTACCCAAAACTAATATACTATTAAAAAATGAAGGCTATAGTACCAACTCCAATTAAGAATTGTAAGTGATTTTATATCTAAAGAGAATACAGAAAATGGATTTTTTAGACATGAAAAAAAAGATAGTCCTTTTTTAATAGAGTTAACTCCATACAATTTTGAGGGAAGTCTGTAGTCATTTAAAAAGATATTTGGTAAAATTTAGGTTAAAAAACTGTATAAATTAGCATGTGATGGGTACTGTCTTATGAATTTTGCAAAGTAGAGATCACAAAACCAATGGAGAATTCTATCTTTAAGTTCAGGAAGTGTGGAAAATGCTTCAACTATAGCCAGAGGACAAACTTGGAATGCCATTTAAATTAAATCACCAGTATAAAGAGCAAAAGATAAAGTTTGCCAAACACCCCTTTTGCTAATGTATCCATTTCCCTATGTGGTGAGTCAAGCTTCTTTGACTGAGTTACAACACCTGAGATAATAGCTTACAGGCAGCTGATTTTAGACTATGGTTTCAGTCTATGGCTGTTGACCATTGTTTTGGAGCCTGTGGTGAATCAGTAGCGTCAAGTGTGTGACAGAGGAAGCTGCTTCCCTCTTGACAGCCAGGAAGCAGAAAAGAGGGAGACCAGTGATTGAGTTCCATGTATTCCCTTTAAGAGCACACCCTAAGTCCTCTATTTAAGCCCTGCCTCCTAAGGTACTGCCATCTCTCAGGGCCAGGCTGAGGACCAAGTCTTTCTAACACATGGCCCTTTAAGGGGACATGTAGCTGAATCCTAGTAGTATCTGTATCTATCTTTGAGATATAATTCAAATTTTAAAATATTAGAATTGGTAAGATAATTTGTGAAGGAAGAAGTCTGCCTCACGATCCATTAAAAATTAATAGATTTTTCCATTATTCATACTCACAGCTTGAGTAAAATGGGAAAATATTTCATTTATAATTAGCAAAATACTGATTACATTTATTACTTAAAATATCATATTTATTTATATTTTAATCTACAGAAAAGTCAACTGTTTTATTAGGTATGGTGACCCATTTCTGTAATCTGAACACATGTAAGGCTAAGGAAGGAGGGTCGACATAAGTTCAAGGCCAGCCTGAACTACCTAGTAGGTTCCAGACCAGACTTAAGCCAGCTGGTGGAATTACCATATTCCTGAATAGGAAGGCTCAGTACAGAATCAAATTCAGTGCAGTACAGATAGAACTTTCAACAAAGTTAATTTACAAGAGGATGTTGTGTAAATAATGATAAATTTTATAGAGAAAGATGCAGACCCAAGGGAAGTATGAAAATATGAAAGGCTTCATTTGCCAAATATTTCAATCTAATACAAAGCTTTGACAATCAGGACAAACTATACTGACAGTGGTTGGTCAGTGGAACAAGATAGAAAGTATTAATGTGAGAGAGAATTTAATATGCCACTAAGTTTGACATAACTCAGCATCTACCTGAAATACACAGTTGAGCACCTTCATTACATCATGTATGAGAAACTCTAAACACATTAAAATCAAATGCTAAAATGTAATGATACCATATTTGGAAAAAAATCTACAACAGTATCTATCACCTAGATTGGTGGGAATAACACAACCAAAATGGGAAAGTAGAAGTTAGAAGAGATAATACCAATTTGATTATATCCTGATATAGCTTTAACCTGATAAAGACAATTATGTCAGAAAAAAATCAATCAGAAAATGAAAAACTGAATTATAGCTAAAAGTTTATATCCATGATTCTCTAAGAATCTTCACAAATCATAAGAAAAAACAGACAAAAGTCAGTAGAGAAACTGGCATTTTACAGGAAATCCAATAATCCACAGTCCAGTGGATACAGGCTCAAATCTCACTGGCAGTGAAAGCAGTGTTATTTATATAAGAGGAATGACCTGAATGAAATAAATACGAGAAATTGCATGTATCCTAAGTACAGTGGGTTCCAATAGTCTTCAGTGGTCGCTCACACATTAGTGGATGTTCACATTCTCACACTGGGGAGATTCTTATGCCTGCAATCAAGGTGGACATGCCTTCAGCTGGACTCCACATCAAACCTCATTCAGGGGAGAATCCAGGAATCCAGGAGGATACTGCAGTGTTAAAGGCATTGAGAAACAAATGGAGTGTAAACATACAGGATCATCTAGATGTCCTTAGAACAAAGTTGTCATAAAGGCAGTTGCTAGTGACAAGTAATGTTCACAGAGGTCAATCCTCCTCTGAAGCACATTATGAATATAATAATAATTGCACAAAGTTATTTTAAATGCATCCTCTTAAATTTGTAGGTGAGTTTTCCTTTAATGACCCATAACTGCTGATTAGCTAGTAACTATTTTTTATGCTGCTGATAAATCATGATTACAAAGACTTTGAGGTTAGTAGAAAAATCACCTTGAATGTTAACAAAGCCTTTTTATTTTATTGGTGGTGAACTACATATGCTCATGGAAAGGACAAATGGAAATGTGAATAAGCACATGACTTGTAAGTGAATTTGAAATATAACTTTCAGTATTGCTTACAGGACCAATAAAATGGAGATAAAGGTGATTGATTGTTAATAGAGGTGTGATTTAATATACTGTGATATATCATCATGAAATATCATGCAGTCATTAGAAATGATTTAGGTCTATAAAAGTTTATCCATGAGGTATCATTAATTTTAAACGTGATGTTGAAAGAAATGAAGTCTCATGTGTGTAAAGGAAAGAAAAGCTAAATATACATGAGTGTGGGTATGCCTGTGTATGTTTGTATATATGTATAGGTAAGCCCATTAATGTATTTTTACTGATGAGTATAGGTGCTTGTATAGAATCATAGAGGATTGTTCTCATAAATTCAATCTTTATTTTTCTTTTGTTTTGCTTTTGTTGAGCTAGAAATAAAATGTAGTACATAGACATAGTTGGAAATTGCTTGACCACTGAGCCAACTTGAAGCTTCCTACAATCTTCTTAACATGAGTAGATGATATTTAAAATTATGATTATTGTCTGAGTGTGTGTTTTTCATGACTGAAACATTGCATAGGGTAATTGGAGACTGTTTTGAGATCCATTGATTCTTCTAGAACCAAACTATTGTCTTTCCTAGGACCCTGGTGGATTACCAACAGTGGTAGAAAAATGTCTGAAACTCCTGAATAATTTGGGGCCTCTTGATCTGTGGAGGCAAACAAATTATTTGTCCTGTGCACAGTAAAGAACAAAGCTAGAGGCAGCAAGCAGCCTCGATAGTTAGCTAGGCCAGCTGGTGCAGGAAAAGCTCTGTGCTCACTGTCTTCTCTTTCTCCTAGATGAGGATGGACTTGGCATCAGTATTATTGGAATGGGCGTTGGCGCCGATGCAGGGCTGGAGAAGCTGGGGATATTCGTCAAGACAGTGACAGATGGCGGCGCTGCTCAGAGGGATGGCAGGTGAGCTGCGGATGGTCTGTGACTTGAATCCCAGGGAACTGCCCCACAAGTTTCTGTCCGTGTGATTTTTCTTCTTTTGATTAAAAAAATTCTCAGGTGTGCAAGAATGTTAAAACACCTGGATTACTTTCTTATTGGTAGCAGAATATCTATGCAATCAATGTACATCTGTGTGTCTGCCTTTGTTTCTGTCCACCCGTCTACTTCCTCAGTGTGAAATGGGCCATGTGTATGGTTGAAGAGCATGTCCTGGGTAAGTTGATGTATAACTTTATTTCAGAAATGTACAAATGGCCAGACAGAAATCTCAGAGAAAGGCGCTGCCTTTGTTCCGACCATTCGGTTTAGCAGCTCTTACATGTAAATGTGCTTACCTCCTCTTTTCAGTCAACAGTGTTCACCCTTTTCACTTAATGGAAGCCCAGTATTTGTCTTTGGCACATTTGAATTGTCTTCTAACTCATAGAGTTCAACATGACCTTGTACTTTGGGATCATTGTTAACTAAAGTAAGAGAGTTCCTTGGGCAGAGGCCCTGTGGTGCTGGGACTGCTCACGTGGTAACTCTGTGCATATCTGACTGTCAGGCAGGTGATGCACAGCTTGTGTGTACCTGGTAAACGATGCTTCTCATCCTGGTGGACAGAACAAGAGGACAGATTTCATCCTGCTGTTTAGAATAAATGGCTTGAGGTTTAAAAGTTTGGGATTGTTTTTTTCTGAATTCTCCACTAAATATGTTGAGACAGCTGATGATCACAGGTAGCTGAAAGCATGGAAAGTAAGATCATGTGTAAAGGGATACTTCTGCAGTCTTAGGTTTTTATACATTTCATTCATCAAGAGACTATGTGTTGAATGCTTACATTGTGACATCAGTGATCTGTGCTCTGTGTATTTTAATTTATTTGCTATTGCTAATAATGTTGATTTAAAATACATTTTATTGCTTCTGTTGTGTATGGAAGGAAGGTAAAGTTTCTTATTACACCCTCAATTAAGTGCAGAGCCTGACTGTAAACCTGTGGTGTCTTAACTCAACAGTTAACATTTAAATAGTGTATTACAGTTTAACACGTAATTCATTTTCACAATAGATTTTAAAGATGTGTTATTGCAATACGTGTGTGTGTGTGTGTGTGTGTGTGTGTGTGTGTGTGTGTGACTTATAGATGTTTTTGGCATTTCTTATTTCAAGATGGTGATCATGTCAACGTTTTTATATACAGATTATCAGGAGTATCTCTGATTATTTCTCTGAAACTGATTAAATAATGATGAATTGCATTGGTATGTCTGCCATACAGTGCTTTTCTGCCCTTCAGAAACGTCATTCAGTGTGTGCCTCCTGGAGCAGAACTCCCAGATGGCAGCAGCTGCAACCCATTCATACTGAAGATTGTGATGTAATAGAATCTTCAATAATTTGAATGCCATAATTGCCCTTCAGTTTTTAATGCTTTTTGCACCCTTGTCCTTAACAGTGTATTTATTCTCTTAATTCATGTACATGTATGTGTGCCTGGGCCCCACATGCACGTGGCTCCTTACAGACACCAGAAGGCATCAGGTTTCCTGGAACTGGAGTCACAGTCAGTTGTGCTGTGGGTGCTGGGAACTGAACCCAGGCCGTCTGTTAAAGCAGTGAATGAGGGCCCTTAGCTGCTGAGGCAACTCTTCAGACCTTTTGCTTAAGCCCTCAAAAATGTTTACTGATCACCTGTATTTCTTCCTTTTAAAAGTCAACTATTTGGTTGTGTTTTTTGTGATTATTGGTGATTTTTTTGCAAGTCTATTCTTCATTGGTGTTGCAGTGAGAATCTACAAGAGGTCCATACCAACTACCTCCACTGTTTAACTGACAGAAATTTCTTTCCTGTTTCTCCATTTTACAAAAAAAAATGATTAAACACAACAAAGAAGATTAATTTGTAACTCTAAACTTAAAGTCTGTATTTCCTCCCTACGCTTAAATTTCTGTCAATATTGTTGCTTTCAAAATTAAGAGCCTACCCTGTGGTTCATGTGCCATTTCCTTCTTAGTCCCTTGGTTTATTTTTATTTTATTTTTTTTCATTCATTTATTTAGCTCATAAATAAAGTCATGCACAGTTATGATACACAATACAGTATGTTCACAATGGCATGGCTAAATTAAACCAATTAACATGTTGTATCACACCTATTCATCATTTTTGTTTTGAGAACACTTAAAGTATACTATCTCACAACTTTTAAAATATAGCATATTGTTATCAAACATATTTATCATGCTCTCAGTAGACCTCAGGACTTCACAGAGTCCATGCCTCTTGTCCAACTGCAGTTTTATATCCTTAAACCAGTCATTTCCCCATTGTTAAAATACCCACATTGAAGCCTAATAGCCACAATTCTGCTCTCTGTTCCCATATAAAGTTGAGAATTGTTCTTTCAAGGTCTGTGAAGAATTGTGTTGGGATTTTGATGGGGATTGCATTGAATCTGTAGATTGCTTTTGGCAAGATTGCCATTTTTACTATGTTGATCCTACCTATCCAAGAGCATGGGAGATCTTTCCATTTTCTGGTATCTTCTTTAATTTCTTTCTTTAGAGACTCAAAATTCTTATGGTTAGTTGTACCCCAAGGTACTTTATGTTGTTTGTGGCAATTGTAAAGTATGATGTTTCTCTGATTTCTTCCTCCACTAATGTGTCATCGGTGTATAGTAGGGCTACGGATTTTTTTGAGTTAATCTTGTATTCTACCACTTTGCTGAAGGTGTTTATCTGTAGGAGTTCCCTGGTAGTTTTTCGGGTCACTAATGTAGACTATCATATC